TAAAGTAGAATTATATAAATGAGCTGACAAAATAACAGAATTATCTACAATAGTTGAGGTCATGAGACTCATATTTAGTATAAAAATCCAATTTTTTATATTCTGTTTCCTGTGGAATATATGATATTGATTATAAAAAATTGTCTATGAGTGTGAAATAGTTAAGATAGTTATTTGGAGTCAGGAGAATGATTTCAATGTGTGGCTAATGAGTTGGTCCAAAGGTTGTGGGTTATTGTTAAGCTGATTAACAATATGTGGCTGATGATGGTGGTTATGTTCAGGGCATCAGATTCAATAGAACAAATCTGATAATAGTTACCATTTGTGTAGGATGATTTTTAAATAAAATCTAAACCCTATTGTCTCATTGGATTTTATGACAGTACTTGAGGTGAATTTCTCATTAACCTCATTTCTACTATTATGGTGACTGCATTTTGCTATTTTTTTTTCAAAAAGATTATATTGAGAACTTAAATGAGCATTTATCATTTATATTAAAATTAAATGGTGCCCTCGCTGATTTGGCTCAGTGGATAGAGCTTTGGCCTGCAGACTTGGGGATCTTGGGTTTGACTTTGATCAAGGGCACGTGCGGGAGTTGCAGGCTCAATACCCAGTAGGGGGTGTGCAGGTGACAGCCAATCAATGATTCTCTCTTATCATTGATGTTTCTATCTCTATATCCCTTTCCCTTCCTCTCTGAATTCAATAAAAATATTTTTAATTAAATGGTCAATTTTAATGAAATATTTATTTTCTGTACTTTATAGTTTATTGCTGATTGATAAAAAAAAATTCCTTATACAGGCTTGCACTTTACAACTTACCCACTTTAAAGCATAGGGTGCCCATGATTTATTTTGAAATACCTGGGGGAGAATAAATTGCACTGGGTCACACAAAATTGTGCCTTGGGATGTGGAAAGGGAGAAGAGTTAGAGTTAGCATTGACCCTCTTCGCTGATATTCTTCTGTCTCCAGAAGGAGTCTCTTGCTGAGGGGATATCTGTAGGCTTCACCCTGAACTATGCTAGAATGTTCATTTCCTTCAGAATTTTGAGGACCCCACCAATTGATATTGTTTAGAAGGAACTATTCATGAAAGGTTAAATGGGTGCTTTCTCATGACAGATGGGTGGTGGAGCTGAAGAGGAACATAAAATGATGGAGAGCACATGGCTCCTTGAGCTCCTATACTTGCTCTGCCTGGGTTTTCTGGGCTTGGACCGATTACAGGCTCCACAGCTCTGTTCAACGCAAGGACCATCCCAAGTGATGGCCGGTGACAACATCTGGTGCATCATTCACTCAGAGTCACTGAAGAGCAATAGGGGACACCCCAAAACTCTGACTTCAGACATGGGGACTACCCACACACACGTATATGACAGCATCCTCAGCTGGCTCATGCTTATTTCATCATTTGCCTGGCAGTCCCACTACACTGTCAACCTAAGAATGGAAGAGTATCTTCCTCACTCTTTTTTTTTTTAATATATTTTATTGATTTTTTTTACAGAGAGGAAGGGAAAGGGATAGAGACTTGGAAACATTGATGAGAGAGAAACATCTATCAGCTGCCTCCCTCACACCCCCCACCGGGGATGTGCCCACAACCAAGGTACATGCCCTTGACCGGAATCGAACCTGGGACCCCTCAGTCCGCAGGCCAATGCTTTACCCACTGAGCCAAACCGGTTTCGGCTCTTCTTCACTCTTGAATCTCCTTTGGCCCAGCACAACAAATAATATCTCAATATAAATGGTTTGAAAGAATAAATAATTTTAATGAATAAATGAATGAAAATCAAGAAGGACTCGTACAGGGGAACTGAGGTACAGATATTTAGACCATCTTGGGGGTCCTTAAATTCCTTCTTTCCTCAAAACTCTTGACATGTTCCATTGGGAATGCAAAGGGCCTGGGGCTGGAGAGTGCAACAAGCTGCCCTCTAAATAAGACTCACCCTTACCCTCTTCCAATCCCACCACCCATTTCCTGCCTTTGAACCAAAATTAAAAAAAAAAAAAGAGGTCCAAGATTTTACCAGTTCTCACTGGAATCAGAATATTCCCTTACTCCTCTTTGCTCAAGAATTTTTTTCTATGCTATGGGTTCAGAGCCTCGAGCTCTGAAATAAATAGGGAGTCATTTTTTAAGTTGATACAATCACATGCAATTATTTGCTTTTTTACTTCTTCTGGAGTCACTGAACTTCCTCCAAGCTATCCTGGAAGCAAAACTAAAGGTAGTATCAAGCCCCTTCCAAGTGGCCCCTTAAGTGCCTGCCACTCACTTACCCTACTCAGGGCCCGCCCACGGTCGCTTCCTACTAAGCCTGAGCTCTGGGGGCTGCCTCAGTTCAGCTATGAGAGGTGAATTGGGATCCACATAAGATCCTTAGTCAGGTGGCACTTTCTGACTACCTCTTCCCATTTTCCTTAAGAATGACTCAGCTGTTTGCCATGGCATGCCATTGTTATGGGGGAGGAGGAGACAGAATTGACAAGGAACTGTGAGTTCTAAGCAAAGGGAGAAGGGTTTTGTATTTGTTGATTCATCCTTGCCTTCTGATATGGAATGTCCAAAATGTACTCCAAGGAGCTGGACCTGAGATCCTGCACTGCCCACTCCTATGCCAACTGCAATGACTAAGTCCTAAAATTGCTCCCAAGATTCATCCAGCCAGGCCAGTCTCTGTATTTCCTTGATGTCTCAGGACCACAGGGAGCCAGCACTCCTTGGGATGGGACTCCTAAGATTGGTGACTCTTGGGGAGTTGCCCTCATGCTCTGGAAGAAGTGACCGGGCCATGATCTTATTGTGATTCTCTGTCATCACAGGATGGCTGCTCTGCGTGTGGGGCTTGCTGAGCACCTGATCTCATGAGAAAAAGGATGAGTGAGAGGCAGGAGCAACTCATCAAGGTGGGGGTGAGATTAATGAGCTTCATCTCATTAATGAGTCTTGTGGGGGTATACAAGAGGCAGCTGATCAATGATTCTCTCATTGATGTTTCTAACTATCCCTCTCTGTAAAAAATCAACAAAATATACCTTTTAAAAATAAAAAATAAAGATTAAAAAAAATAAGACCATTCTGAGCATCAACAGAACAAGAGCATTATCCAAATCACACCCACAAAAAAAGATCAAACATCCGCTTTCTCAGTGGACATGAGGCACTGCTACCTCTTTATCAATTGCAGCTTTGGTCTTGCCCCATTAATCCTGATTTCTAGCTAAAAATTATGGGTACCTAATCATATAAATGCCCCCCTGCTTTCTGAAAGCACCAAACACAGAGCAAAATTTCACTTCCTTAAAACTTCCCCAAAATTACCTAGCCCAAGCCATTTAATTTTAATATGCATGATTAATGTTTGCTGCAGCTCTGAATTTTTATATTCAGGGGGAAAATAGCAGTCATTTAGATGACATCATATCAATAGAGATGACATCAATGAGAAATTCACTTCTTGTACTGTCATACAATCCAATGGAAAAATAGTGTTCAGGTTTTATTCAAAAATCATCCTACATAAACCTTAGAAATTATCTGGTCTGTTCTATAGATGTCATGCACATAACATCACCTCCATCATTAACCTCACCATAAGCCACACATTGAAATCATCTTCTTGCCTTCCCATAATAATCTTAAATATTTTACATTCATAGGTCATTTTTGTAATCAATATCATACATCTCACAGGAAACTAAATGTGAAAAAAATTTGATTACTTATACTAAATATGAGCCTCATGACCCCAACTATTGTAGATAATTCTAGTATTTTCTCAGCTCATTTATATAATTCTACTTTAGCTTCAGTTCTCTTATGGGGCCCACCTGCACAGACAGGGCCTGTATTCCACCCTCCATTGATTTCTCAGATCATCTCATTCCCATGGTCTATTGGACTCAGATCACCAACAGGAGCAACAGGAGCTGATTATACCTGAACAAATCATGGCCCTTGGCACTATGCAGAGCAATGGGAACTAATGCCTGAAATACAGAAGTTTCAGAGGACAAATCACATGGTAACAAAGATAGATGTTTATTCTCCGATGTCTGTCCAGTTAAACTTGAAATGCTCAAGATCAGGAAATGTGTCATATGCATCTACCTTCACATCCTCACTGCCCGCACAAATGCAAGGGGCAGAGCCAGAGTTAAAGCACCTGAGCTGAGTGAGTGAAAGGAGAAATGGCAGGACCCCAACATGCCTGGGGAGCAGTCATCAAGATTTCCTGGTTCCCTCTTGCCAGGCATGTTGGCACGTGTGCAGGAAGCAGCGGGGACTTGGGGTGGGAGTGTGTGGCGCTGTCACCTCCCCCTGCTTGTGAAAGCAGCAGCATGCCCGGTCCCTGTGTCACCAACCAGCACAGGATAAAAGGGCTCCTACCCTGGCTCCCCATCCACAGCCTCCCCAGGAACAGACTTCTCCTGCCTCCTCTGCCTCCGGTGAGTGTCTATCAGGGGCCAGGCCTCAGCTGGGAGTGATGGGAAGACAGGTTCAGGCTTCAGTGGGGAAGAGGGATTCCGAAGTGTGTGATGTGGAAGCAGCCAGAAGAGGACCGTGGAGGGCAGCAGGGCACAGGAAAGGCACAGTGAGCAGGGAACCTCTGTGGGCTGCATGGAGGTCTGGCCTGCCAGGGCCCTGGCTACCAGCAGCCCCTCCACTCTTCAGCCTGAAAGGTGCACACTTGCCTGAGACATTGTCCAGGCCTCACTACAGTGGTGCATCTGCTTCCACGTGTCCAGGAGGAGAGGCAGATGTTCAGTCCTTTTGGAAAGAGGGAGGGGAATGCCGTTTCAGATCACGTTAAGTTGACATCAGTTCCTATTTTCCTCCTGAACATCCCAGCTGAGGAGGCAGCCTGTTTGAGGAGCAGGGGCTTTAGCAGGCTGTTCCTGGAGGAGACACTGGCCTGGAGCTTTTGCGCTGACCTTTTCCTTTCTCGATCCAGGTCCTCAATATTGCCAAGATGTCCTGCCAGCAGAACCAGCAGCAGTGCCAGCCCCCTCCCAAGTGCACCCCCAAGTGCCCCTCTCCGAAGTGCCCCCCAAAGAGCCCAGCACAGTGTTTGCCCCCAGCCCCCTCTGGCTGTGCTCTGAGCTCTGGGGGCGGCTGTGGCCCCAGCTCCTCTGAGGGTGGCTGCTGCCTGAGCCACCTCAGGCACCACCACAGGCACCACCGCTGCAGGCGCCAGAGCTCTGACTCCTGTGACACTGGCAGTGGGCAGCATTCTGGGGGCTCTGGCTGTGGCCACAGCTCTGGGGGCTGCTGCTGACCTGGGTCTGCTGCTGAGACCAGCCACTTGAGAGGAGACACAGTTCCAGGGACCAGCCTCTGCCCAGTGTGTGCCCTCTCAGTACTGGCCTTTCCATGCCCTTGGCTGGCGCTGAGGTGTCTCTGGAGAGCTGCTGAGATCCTCAGTGGCTCCTTCTGTCTACACTCCAGGGCCCCACAGTGTGCCCGCCCCCAGCTCTGCCAGACCCTGCACCATCTACCCCAGCACCTGTGTCTGACCCCTTGAAAAAATAAAGTTTTGTTTCCTCAGCACCACGAGACTCTTTGACTTTGTTCCAGCCCAGGTTGCTCTGGGCATCTCCCGTCCTCTGTGTTTCTCAGGCCACCACTGCCTGAGGAAGAGGCAGATCCTGACTTCAGGCCAGAAAGAGCAGCAGCTCCATCGCCTACGAAAGGGCCTGTGGGAACACTTGGTGTTGGGCCAGGAGGGGGAAGGGTGCTGGTTCAGCCCCACACCAACGAGAGGTCCCCATAACGTGATGTGGGAAGGGTTCTGTCTCCAATCTGGACTCTGCTGGAGGTGAGCTCCGCCATGAGAATCCAGAAGGGATCCAACATCCCCAACCAAGAGCCAGGGATCAGGGAGGCAAAGAACGCGAAGCCTGGCCAGAGAGGAAGTTGAGAGACCAGGGGAGGAAAGAGAGGCCATGAGATGATTATTAATTCAATTTCCTCAATGAGGATCTTGTGGAAGAATGATGAGAGATAACACTGAAGATATTGTAGATGCAGGGGAGACATTGGGCTCTAAATGGGTGTCTGATGTGAGAAAATTGGAAAGAAGAGAAACATGGAACTGAGAAATGGTGCTGGTTTTAAGAATAAAAATAATTATAAGATTAAATATTTCCTTAGCACTTACATGAGCCTGGCAGGATCCCAGCTGTTTGGCATAAGGTTCTTCAGTTAATCCTCCCAACAGGCCTGGGATGTGGGTACTCTAATTATCTCACATTGCAGATACGGAAACATCATCACCACACATTTTCTCAACTTGCCACAAATCAATGCAACAAACACACTACCCTGATTTCCTTCAATGCAATAGAATTCTCTCTAAATTACTTTCTTCCAGCCCAGCTCACTGTGTTTAATGGTGACTTTTAAGCTACTGTCAGTAAGATTGCAAGCCACTCAGGTCGTAATTGCAACCGGACCCCATCTGGGGAAGAGAATTGTCCCTGATTTTAGACAAAGCAATACCATCAACTGACCACATCTTGTTGGACCTAAGACCAAATGTCTATGCCTCCATGAAATCTCTTCTTCCCTGGCCCCCCATACATCCTGATCCCCATGTCAATACAGAAGCAGGGGCCCCCTATCACACTTGTGAGTGTTTGCTTATCTACCCATCTCCTCCTCTGGAAAGTGAACCCTGAGGCGTCCGACTCCCCTCCCCCACATCCACATTTCTGTGATGTCTGCCCCTGCCCTGCCCACCCCTGATACTAACTTGCACTTAGGATGCTATGCTGCCAGCTCTAACTGGACCAGAGCGACCTCGACAGACTTGGTGGCCATGAGTAGGCTGGCTGGAGCCCTGTGTGCTGATGGCCAGGCATCTGTGCTTCCAGACCTCAAAATCCTCTCTGCTGGGTATGCCTGCACAGCCACCTAAAGGGACCCGCACAGGCCCCAGAGCTCAAGGACTGCTCAGAGGCCCTGAGGCCAGGGAAAGGCAGACCTGGAACAAGACAATAATCAAGAAGGCAGATGAACACAGGGATAAGACATCCACCCCAAGGGCAGCTCTGCCCACATCAGCTGGCCTCAAGGTCCCTGACAGCTGGCTACGGGAGTGACCAGAGACACCTGGTGGCCAACTGTGGTGCGTGTTCCTCAGCCTCAACCCAGAGACAGTCACCTGTCCAATCAGCGAGGAGCTGCCTAGCTGAGGAAGCAATTAGCAGCTCCTTGGGAGCAAAAAGCACCCTAAGTTTGAAGAGTTTATTTTTTTTTATTTCAACAAACAATAACCCGGGCAGAGTGGCTCCATCTGTTGGAATATCATCAGGTATACCAAAAGGCTGTGGGTTCTATTCCCTGTCAGGGTACATACCTAGGTTGTGGATTTGATGGCCAGTCAGAACACATATAGGAGACAACCAGTCGATATTTCTCTCATATGCATGCTTCCCTCTCTCCCCCTTCTCTCTCTAAAACCAATAAAAACATATCCTCCATGAGGATTTTCTAAAAACCAACAAACTATATGTGTTAATAGCATCTATTCAACATTATTACTGCATATTATTAGTGCCCCATAATTCCCATAAAGGGAAAATACAACAAGTTCTAATGTGTTAAGGAATAAAAATTTACTTCCCAATTTTGAAAAACTTGAGAAAGGACAAAGGCAATTTATGAGAGAATTGTAAATGACCAACAAATACGGGTTCGACTTCTTTAAAAAAACAACAAAAAGATCTTTTGTGCTTGTTTTGTAATTATCAGATCTGGCCCCTGCAATTGTAAGCAATAAGCATATGCATGACAGGAGGAGTGGCCAATTCAGCGGTGTATCAGAAAAACATAAAAAGTCATTGGCTTTGACAGAATAGTAACATTTCTAGGCAATGTCCTCAGTTCAGTCATCAGAGATTGTTTTCTAATGTGCGTGTGTGTCATTATTTGGAAGAGTAATGAGGTAGAGCCTGCCTCAATGTCCAACAATAAAGTGATCACTAACTAAAAGATTGGGCATCATTGAAACCTGTTTGGCTCAGTGGATAGAGCATCGGCCTGCGGACCGAAAGGTCCCAGGTTCGATTCCGGTCCAGGGCATGTGCCTTGGTTGCGGACACATCCCCAGTAAAGGGTGTGCAAGAGGCAGCTGATCTATGATTCTCTCTCATCGATGTTTCTAACTCTCTATTCCCTCTCTCTTCCTCTCTGTAAAAAAAAAATCAATAAAATATATTTTTTAAATAAATAAAAATAAAAGATTGGGCATCCATAAAATGAATGTAATACTGGTCAGTCATGAAAACCACTTTTAAAGATGGGCAGTCACATGACGTCAGGTGAACAGTGTCTAGAGTTCAAGTTTATGGAGTTTAAGCAGCACTGGGAGCATGTGGTCTGCAGCTGTGTGAATTTCATTCTCACCCACTCCATTGTGTTCCTATTCCTATAGCTTTCAAAGTGTCAGCAAATGGGCATGACTGGAATGATCAGAAAATAACTTTATTTTTAAAACAAAATATCGATAAGTGGCAGGGCACGATTACTAAGAAGCAGGGGTCTTGAGCCTTTCTGGACCAGAGGCTGTAAGGACTTCAACATCAGCGCTGATGAAGTCATCCCTTTAGTTTTATTGATGATGAAACAGGCATTTCTGCTCTGCCCTGGTCACTCGGAGTCAGTGAGCACTCCCAGCCCCTTATCCAGAAGGAAAAAGGATGGACTTGACTAAGGGTGCGGCCGTGAGCCCAGGAGGAGGACACTATTCCAGGCAGCCTCACGGCCCTCCTCCCTTCTACCCCCCCAATTGGCCTACTCTGCTCCCAACAAATTAAGACTGGCCCTAACTAATCCCAAAATTAATTGGCTTTTCTGGTCCTCTTTGCAGCAGGGCTTCTCTCGCTGTTCTCTGATATTGTTGTTAAAAGGTTACAGGTGTTGTTGTTTTAAAAAGAATAACAACTTTTAGCCCTGGACAGTGTGGCCCACTGGGTTGGATCCACACGGTCTTGGTTGGATTCCCGGTCAGGGCAGTCCCTGGGTTGCAGGTTCCCAGGTTTCATCATGGCCCTGGTCAGGTGCATGTGGGAGGGAACCAATCAATGTTTCTCTCTCTCTCTCTCTCTCTCTCTCTCTCTCTCTCTCTCTCTCTCTCTCTCTTTCTCTTTCTCTCTCTCCCTTCTTCCCTCCCTCCCTCCTTTCCCAGGCCAGTTCTCTAGAAAGTGAGCAGGGTGGGCAAGGGGGGTTGGGAAGAAACCCTTTGGTGATAACACCTTAGGATTTTATTCTCTCATACTGTGCACTCGCCCAGTTAGGAAATTTGTAGTTTCTGTTTGCTTCCTAGTTGTCAATACAACTTAAAATTAAATTAAGTTAGAAAGAAAAAAGGTAAACCTACAGTCATTGTAAACCCATGGAACTAAACTCATGGAACACTTTATGAGACTTTACTGTTAAATGTTCCCAAACTACAGGCTCTGCTATGTGGTTTTCTGAACTGTCACCAATAATTTCAAAGCTGCTTTCCGCTTCAAAATGGTCCCACATTTGCCTGAAGGGTGATGTCATGAATACATGTGGACCTCAGCTCCACATCACTAGGCAGTTGTTAGCAGAAAATGACAGCTCTAGGCGGTAATTTGTTTCCCTAGCAACACACACACACACACACACACACACACACACACTTACTCACACATATTTACCTATGTGTTTTTCTAGCTTCGGACACTAAGCATCACTTGGAATCCAAAAATAACTGGCATACTTAGTTCACATAATTCTAGAGTCAGTGGAATAATCCACTGAAGCAGGCAGTCCATTTCGGTTGGATGTCTAGCAAAGGGTGACCAGATGGCTGCATCTCCTTGATGAAATTTTTTAGGATGCCTGTAGGGGGTGGTGTGGGACAGGGAAAGAAACCTGGGATGGTGATCCAGTGCTCTCGGTTTAAACAGAACAATGCAGCCTCCTCTCTTATGGAGACAATAATAATAATAATAATAATAATAATAATAATCTGTCCCTGCCTACACGGTGGTGATGAAAATCAGATTAAGAGCTAAGACACTGTGGTCTAAACCACAAATTGATTTTTTTAAAAAATGACTATGTATGAAAGAGGGGACAGGAAAAAATGCTGGATTTTGTTTTAGAGTCTTGACTTCAGGATAATGTAAATTCATAACACAGGAATAAAAACAAAAGTGTTAAATTTAAAAATTCTAAACAGGGAAAACAATCTGTAACTGTATATAAAGTAAGTAATATAACTATAATGAGAAAATAGTTATT